TATTTTGGAGTGGGTCCAGGTTTTGGGGATGGGCCCCCCTTTCATGATGTCATTGAACAGGCGGGTCATGTAGGACATCAAGGGTTCTTTGAATTTCCTATAGACTTCTGCTGTGAAGCAGTCTGGGCTTGGGGCTTTGTGTGGTTTCAGGTCTTTGAGGACCGTATCTATTTCCTCTGGGGTGATAGGGCTGTCCATGAATTCCTGCTCCTCATCAATTAAGGTGGGCATGGTCAGTTCTGCTAGGAATTTTCTGATTTCCTTCTCAGGTGGGCTATGGGAAGTGTATAGGTTGGAGTAGAATTCTGCAAATTCTGAGGTTATTTCTTTGGGGGAGAATGTTATGTTGTCATATTTTTTGGTGATGCAGTGTATTCTTGTTTTGAGTTCTTTTTTCCTACATCTATTTGCTAATAGTCTGGAGTTTCCCCTCCATATTTATAGAAACATTGTTTAGAGTATAGAATGCTGATCATTGTTTTGTTGATTTCTAGGGAGTCTAGTTCTCTCCTTTTTTGTTCTATAAGTTGAAGAAGTTTTTTAGATCCTGTTTGTTTGTAGCGTGGTGAGAGGGCCGTGATGTCTTGTTCTATTTTTGTTAATTTTTGAGGGGGTTTGTTATATTGTCTACATCATTTTCCTTAAAGTAGTTTTGTAGAGTTTTTGTGAGACTCTCTCTAATTTGTTTGTTTGTAGTTAGGATGGGGCTGAAGAGCCATGATGGGGTGGTTTGTGTTCCCTCTCCTATTTTAACGGTGACTTCAACTGGAGCGTGATCTGTGATTTTACCTATGTTTACCTATGTTTTTTGATTTCGCTAAGGAGATTAGACCCTGTGTGAGCAGAATGCTGTCCAGTCTGGACGTTGTACCATGGCATCCGGATTGGAATGTATGGCTGGTGTCTCCCAGGTTTTGCTCACCCCAAATGTTGTAGAGACACCTGTTTTTTAACATTATTAGTAACTTGTAAGAGTCCCTAGTTGTTGGGGGTTTCTTTCAAAGGAAGGTTGCCCATGGGGTTGTAGGGTGAATGTTTTTCAGGCGTATGCCTTTCATATTTAGGTTGAGGTCACATCCTAGGATTGCTTCCCCTTCAGAGAAGGAGAGGAACTTGTTTAGTGTCTTCTGAAAGAATTCTAGTTGTTTCGAGTTTGGGGCATATATGGAGCCGATTGTCAGTTTAATTTTGCCATCTAGTGTCCCTTTAGTGAAAATGAATGCCTTTTTTGTATTTTAGGACTGTTGTGGCAGTGAAGTTCAGGTCTCCACTAAGTATTATAGCTACGCCATGGGCTTTCCCTGAGCCCCATGCGACCCACTGTTGACTGAAGTGGGGGTCACTCAGGAGTTTGATCCCTTTGGGTGGGTTGTGTATTTCTTGTAGGAAGGTGATGTGCAGTTTCGTGATGCGTTTTCTTTTGATGGGATTTCCCAACCCCTGTGTTGTTTAATGAACCAATGGGATTGTGCTGACCTAGAGTGTGGTGATTGGGGGACTAGTGGGGTTAGAGTTAGATTTGGGTTAAAGAGTAGGGGGTAGGTTGTAGAGAGTTTCCTATATGTAATCATATATGTGTTTGTTTAGGGTATTTTGGGCCATTTGGCATTTAGCCAGTTGGTCCTAGCTCTCAGCTGGTGTGGAGGGCCATGTACAGGGACAGGCCATCCCTCCTGTTGTTTGCAATAGGGGATGATCAGTGAGATGGGGTGAAGCATCTTTGTGACGCCAATGTCGGGTATAAGGTTCATAAGCAATATTGCCAATGTTATTAGCAACATCATTGGCGTGTTGGGGCGAGGATGTGGGTGTTGGTATGCTCTGGCGCCACCATTGTGCTGATTGGGCATCATATTTTAGCCTGTTTGTGGGTTGTGTTATTAAGGTTGGAGGAGTTGTTTTTCCTTAGTATGGAGTAGGGGGATGCTGAAGGTGTGGGTTATGGGTTGTTAGGTGATGGGGAATGTGTTTTTCGTCTGGGCTGGTGTTGGGGTGGGGATTTCTGTGCAGGTGCAGGGCTGGGGGCGGATGTTGATGGTGTTAACTATATCTATGTTCGGTGGGGAGAGGAGGGGGGAAGGGGGGGAGAATCACCACTCCTTTGTGGTTTTTTCCGGTTGCTTCATTCAGCTGGGGTTGTTGTTGTAGGGTTGTCCATCTGCGATGAGTTGATTTGGTTAATCTTGGTCTGGTTTCTTGTGTCATATGGCCGGCGGGATGATTCTGTGCGTGGTGCTTGACTGTATTGGTTTGCATTGTCTGTTGTTTCTTTTTCTTCTTTACTGTCATCCAATTGTTTGCTGTTGTTTCGTCATGGTTGTGGCTGTCACTTAGTGGGTTTGTCGGTTGCCATTCTGGTGGAAGGTTGAGTTTGAGGTTCTTCAGTAGTTGCAAGGCTTCAGGTATGTTGGTAGCTGTTTGTTGTGTTGTGTTAGTTGTTACGATGAGTCGAAAAGGGAAGCCCCATCGGTACTTGATCCCTGCTTGTTGGAGACACTGGGTGCACAGGCGTTGGCTTTTTCTCTGATTTAGGGTGTCCTGAGATAAATCCTGTAAGTCCAATATGGGGGCGTCTCCATATCGAAGGTTGGTTGAGTTTCTGAGGTTGTTCCATACCTCTTCCTTCTTTTTGTACTGTGTGAAGCACACAATGATGTTTCTTGGGAGGGGGGGCGCTGGGTTTCGGCATAGGTTTTAGGGCTCTGTGAGTCCTCTCTAGGTCGTCTACCTCAGGTGTCAGGTTTGGGATTGTATCTTTCAGCCAGCGTACAATTAGGTCTGCTCGGCTTTTCTCCTCTGCTTTTTCAGGAAAGTTGCGGAAGTGGATGTTGCAACGTCTATTGCGATCTTCGATGTCCATTTGTTTGATTCTCATTTCTGTGTTTTCTATTTCCAGGTGATTTACCAGTTCATCCAATTTCTTATTGATGCGTGCGTTCTCCTCTCGGTATTGCTCTATTATTCTTTCTTACACTTGGTTCTTGTTCTCTAGAGCTTTCATTTTGGAGGTTAGATCGTTGATTAATATCTGCAGGGGAGCCACTGTGGCCTTCAGTGTTTCTGCTAATCTCGTTTCCATTTCCCTCAGATCTCGTTTAGTTGTTGGGTGGTCGTCATCTTGAAGGGGTGTTGTGGTCTCAGCGCTATTTGCCATCTCCCTGGTTGGTGTCAACTCAATCTCCCTAATGGTTTTGGTTTGAGGTCTGCTTGGCATCCTCTTGGAGTAGGGCGTGTTGCGGTTAGGCGTTGTGGTGGTGATGGTTCCTGGATGTTGTTGGGTTGCTGAGCTGAACAGGCGTTGTTGACTGGTGTTTTACAGAGCGTTCGGATTAGGTGGCCATTTGTGTTGAATCTAGGCTGTGGTCGCCTCAGCGGTGCTGCCAGAGCGGGGGGTAGGTAAGCTGACAGGTGGGTAGACCAACAGACAGTTCACATAAAAGGGGGGGGTTAGCAGGCAGAGATGCGAGAGACCAGAAAGGTGGGGCCAGGGGAAATGTGTGTTTTAGGGGGGTTATTTGTGGCTGCACCTGTGTGTACACGCCTGCGCACTCATATACACAAAAGGGGTACTAGGGTCCAATTAAGGTGGAAGGTGGGGTTAGGAATGTGTTCAGGAACAGGACCAGACAAAACAGAATATAGGCAAAAGGTGGAGGGAAACGAGGAAGAAGAGAAAAGAAACAAAGAAAAAGAAAAGGGGGAGGGGAAGGGGAAATTAGAGTAAAATAAAAGGGAGGGGAAAGAAAGAGAGAAGGAGAGAAAGTAGAGTAATAACAGTGGTAATAGATTGCAGTGATAGTTTTAGCTATAGTATGAGAGGGGAAAGTATAATACAGTGGTATGTGTGTATGAGTGTATGTATGTGTTTTCTTTAAAGAGAGAGGGGGAAAGGGGGGATGGAGAGAGGGAGGGGGAGAAAAAGAGAGAAGGAAGAGGAGAAATGAGGAGAAGAGGAGGAGGAGGAGGAGGGGTGGGGGAGGGAGAGGTAACTGTAGCAGTGGCAGTGGTGTGGGGAAAAGTTTTGTTTTAAAGGAGGGGTGGGGGGAGAAAGGGCTCCCCCTTCAAAAACAGACCGACAAACAGGCTCTCCTCTTCTTTCTTCGATGGTGATGGCAAGGTCGGGGCTCCTCTCTCCCTTCTTCCTCTTTTCTCCCCCCCCTTCCCTTTGTTGCTTTGGCTCCGAGGTCCCTCCAGCCTCGGAGCTCCGCTGGGTTGTTGGGGGGGATGGAGGCTGTGGCTCCCTCGGTAGGCACACCAGATGCCCCGGTTTCCCTCTGGCGGTGGTGGAGGCAGAAGCAGTGGGGTCTGGGCTCCTTTCTCTCCTTCCCCTCCTGCTTCCTGCTTCTGTGCTGGCTCCGAGATCCTCCTGACCTCGACTGACAGGGTGCCCTTGGTCCCGGCTCGATCAAGGTCACGGGGGGGGACTGCGGTTGTTCCGGGCACCCCCAGTTCCTCTCCAGTATCGGTGCTGGCGGCACTGGCAGCGGCAGTTCCAGCAGCCCAGGAGCCAGCCAGGTAGCTTTGTAAGTTCTGGCTGGCTTCAGGAGCTGCTCGTTGCCGTGGCGTCCGCCGTGCAGCCTTAACTGGAAGTCCCGAGTGTACCCTTCTTGAGGGGGCAGAACTCCTTTCACGCTCCAAGGCAGAGGTACCTGCTACAGCTTCTTCTCATTTTGAAGGATCCTGGATCAAATGCGAGAACTGCTTTTTGCTTTCTCATCGGTCAAATGGAAGGGTATAACTTTGCTCTCAGTTCTGTCTGTAGATTGCTTAATGGAGCTACGGATTGTTAAGAGCGGCCCACCAAATGTGCAGTGGATGTCTCAGGTGGACCATTGTGTGAGTTTTCCTTGTTTATCCTAACAGATCATTTGCAAGAGAGGGGATTTTGATCTGTGAGGAAAGCTTTAGAAATGAAACTTTAGATTGGGCAGACACATCACTTACTTGAATTTAAGGTTTGCAGTCCCAATCATAATGAATTTGTGTGTCCTTTCTTTCAGATATGTAAGCACTACCAATGTGTTGATGTCTCTGTTTTGGGTTACAGCTGCAATGCAGAGCATCAGTGCAATGGACGAGGGGTAAGCTGACAAAACCACGCCGGATTTCTAGACCGTGCTTTCTCCAGGGGTTACTGACTTGATGCTTTGTTTTCTTCTGACCTCCTCTCTTGGGCCTTCCTTTCCCCTTTTTTCAGAAGGTGCTGGAGGGAGACATGGTTCCATTGAATGACGGACAGGTAGGAGCTCCAGCAAAGGAACAGTTGAGAGCTCCCTTCAAGCTTCTGGTTGTTCCTTTGATGCTCTGCCCTTATCTACCTGCATTACGTCAGGGGTTGGATGGGTGGACTTGGCTTGTTATTTGATACTGCTCATATTGATCCAGAGCAGACTGCAGCATATAGTTAGCAAAAACTGAAACATGTTGCAGGATTCCCCCAAAATAGACGGGCGGTACTTCATCCAGCAGAGCTTTACTACTGAAGGTAAATGAGCATAATAATCACAAATCCATATATCTTCAGAACTGGCACAGTCCATAAGAAATCCAGTTGCAGCAGACTTAATTAAACTTACAATAACTTACAATAAGACTAAAACCCTAACACTAAACATACTACACTAATGGCCAAAATTGTGGAAACCTTTTGGAAAAAGTGAAATTCCGAGATATGATGGCTCATAACACCACTTTCTTTTTGAGTAATACCATAAAATTATATATCAATGGAAAGATAATTTAATGAAGAATGTAATGCAACAATGTTTGTTCAGTTATCTGTATTCTATCAAAAGTTACAGCCAAATAACCAGAAAAAGGAAGCACAACTTGCTTAGGTTTCCACAATATATAATTTTTATTTATTTTCCATTTTTTAATACACGTTCACATCAAAGCACTCCACTTTACATCCCTGGCTCTTTAGAGCCTATTAACTCGCCCCCCCCACCTCATGGCTTTCAACATTAAACTTTATATCACTGCATTTTGTATGTTTTCCAATTCTAATTACACACATTACCACATGGGTAGGCAAACTAAGGCCCGGGGGCCGGATCCGGCTCAATCGCCTTCTCAATCCGGCCCGCAGATGGTCTGGGAATCAGCATGTTTTTATGTGAGTAGAATATGTCCTTTTATTTAAAATGCATCTCTGGGTTATTTGTGGGGCATAGGAATTCGTTCATTTTTTTTCCTTTTCAAAATATAGTCTGGCCCCCCACAAGGTCTGAGGGACAGTGGAACGGCCCCCTGCTGAAAAAGTTTGCTGACCCCTGCATTACAAAATAACTCAAAATTTAAATAAATATAGAAAGGTAGAATGGAAGTGAGAGCTGGACCATAAAGAAGGATGATCGCCGAAAAATTGATGCTTTTGAATTATGGTGCTGGAGGAGACTCTTGAGAGTCCCATGGACTGCAAGAAGATCAAACGTATCCATTCTTAAGGAAATCAGACCTGAGTGCTCACTGGAAGGACAGATCGTGAAGCTGAGGCTCCAATACTTTGGCCACCTCATGAGAAGAGAAGACTCCCTGGAAAAGACCCTCATGCTGGGAAAGATGGAGGGCACAAGGAGAAGGGGACGACAGAGGACGAGATGGTGGGACACCATCTCGAAGCTACTAGCATGAGTCTTACCAAACTGTGGGAGGCAGTGGAAGACAGAAGTGCCTGGCGTGCTCTGGTCCATGGGGTCATGAAGAGTCGGACACGACTAAACGACTAAACAAAAGAGAAAGGTAGAGAATTTCTCATTACAAGTCTTCAAACAACCCTGCTAGTGATGTCAATTGCTTACAATATACCGTATAAATTTGCTCCAATCCTTTTGGAATGCTTGATCTTGCTGGTTTCAGATTTTTCCTGGCAGCTTCGACCAGTTCTGCAAAGTCCATCATCTTCATCTGCCACTCTTCTTTCGTTGGTTCTTCTTGTTGTTTCCATTTTTGGGCTAAAAGAATTCTTGCCGCAGTTGTTGCATACACAAACAGTCTTTTATCTTCCCTTGGGATTTCTTCACCCACTATACCAAATAAAAAGGCTTCTGTTTTTTTAACAAAAGTATTTTTAAACATTTTCTTTAACTCATTATATAGCATTTCCCAGAAAGCCTTTACCTCTTTGCAAGTCCACCACATGTGGTAAAAGATACCTTCCTTTTGACTTCCGGGGAGGCGCCTCCGGCAATGGCTGGATTCCTCTGATCGGGAGGAATCAGCACCGTGGAAATCTGGGTCTGGCCGCCACGGCGAAGGCAGAGACCCGTTAAAAACCACAGGCGGGAGAAGCCTGTGAGCGTGGGATTCGGTGGGCACCTTTTGCACCTCCCCCACTCATGGGGAAACCCGATTTCGGGGATCCGGAGCGACGTGGGGTGAGCGGCGCGGTGCTTCGAATCATCTGCTTCTTCCACGGAGCGAAGCTGCATAGCTGTTGTCGGAGAGCGCTGACTTTTTCCTGTGGACAATTTGACTCTAAAGTAACTACCCGTGAGTAGAGCTTAATCGGGAAAATTGGATTTTTAAAATAAACGTCTAATTTGGCATCGAAACAAGGAAGGTTCAATACAGGAAGTCCGCCTTCCCCTTTTGTAAATAGACTGAAGCAATGGAGGCTGCAAGCTGAAGTCTTGGAAAGCCTTTTGTAAAGACTAAATTTCCATAAGTAAAGAATATAATCCCCCCCCTTGGAGGCAGGAGAAGGGGGGGCTGTGGACTGAGTCTGCCTGCGGAAGAGACCAAGAGAGGCAAAATACTGCCGCTCGGACCCTGGGAACGGGCTGCTAGTAGGTCCGACGTTTGGTGGGATGTTTATTGACAGCGTTTGGATCGTTCATTGACAGCTAGCATAAGAGAAGATACATTGTTTCTACTGTCTCCAGCAGTGAAAGTAACTTTGAAATTGGTTTTGGGTCATTTCAATTGTGCCTATAAGAGGATATTATGTATCAATACAAATAGAAACTGTTTCCCTTTAGTGGAAGTTCTTGAAACTGGCGGCTACATAAGATCTGGGCTGGGAAATTTCCAGCGGTAAGATAACACCTGTGAGACTGTGAGATTGACCTTGAATCTATTGAGTGTTATGGCAGATGGGAAAGACGGAATGTCGCCAGAAGAGGCCTTAGCGGTTGTATTAGTGAAAATAAATGACTCGCTGCAACAACTTCACAAGAAAATGGATGTGATAAATATGAAAATGGATGCTGCAAATTTTAAAACTGACTTAATGGTAGAAAGTTTAAATAACCTGGGACAAAAGGTGAATACTAATATAGAAACCACCCAGAAATTGATACAGGAATCTATCCTGATACGGCAAACTGCGGATGAAGTTAAGGAGAAAACCCTTGCTGCTGAAGTTAAAGTAATTCAACTGGAGAGAGTCCCATCCATTCAAGGACAACTTTATGAATTCAAGCTGACACTGGTTATGACTGAACTTAAAGAGAAACAGATGAAATTGAGGATCAGAGCCCTACCCGAGGAAAATGTGAATTTATTCAAGGGCAATTGTGAAGGACGTTGGTTGAAGAGAAGGGGGATTTGGAAACAGGGTTAAATTGGAAGTGGTTATTGCTGGGCCGAGTTGTTGTGGTGGGGATGAGGGTTGCTGTGATGTTGGGGATGCTGTTTTTGTTTCAAACATTGCAAGCTTTGGATGGGAGGGATTGTTTCAGGAGGTGGCAGAGGGATGTCTCTAGATTTGTTTGGCAGGGCAGGAAGCCCCAAGTAAAACTTAAGATATTAACGGATGTTAAAGAAGGAGGTGGACTTGCCCTCCTTCTTTTGTTGTGAATCATCTGCTTTTTGCTGGCTGAGAGAATCGGCAGAATCCAAGACCAGGGAGAAGAGCTGGTGGAAGAAGACTGGAAGTTTAAAGACTATTTATAGAAATATTGCAAAATTAATGAATGTTAGAACACAGTTGGAATGAAGTTATATGGCTTTAGCAGAAATGTTATAAGGAATTAAGTATAAATAGATCAATAGAGTATTAAAGGGAACAAAATAAGGTTAGAATGTGTTAAGATTATTATAGGATAGAAAACAGGGGAGGATGGAAAGGAATTGCTGAAAGAATTGATGTGGAATACAAAAAGGGAGGTGTGAGGAAGTTGTGGAAATAAGCGAATGAAAGATATGACATTGAAATTGTTTAATATGTTTTAAATGGTCTTTGTTTTGTTTTATTTGTCTTATGTGTTAGTTTTGTAGTGTTTTTGTATTGTATTGTGTTGTTTTCCGTTTGTTTTTTTTCTTTTCTTCTTCTTCTTCTTCTTCTTCTTCTTCTTCTTCTTTTTTTTTTTGCTTTTTTGTTTGTAGTGTTTAAATTTAAATTTTTGGAAACTCAATAAATATTATTTTTTAAAAAAAGATACCTTCCTTTTATTTGCATTTCCAGCATTCATTAGTTATTGGCTTATACATGTTGGTAAGTTTAGCTGGTGTTAAATACCATCTATACATCATTTTCATAACATTTTCTTTAAGTGCACTACATGCAATAAAATTAATACCTTCCTACCATAACCTTTCCCATGATTCTAATTGAATATTATATCCAAAATATTTAGGCCAATGTATCATCACAGATTTAACCTCTTCATCTTTGGTATGCCATTCCAGTAATAATTTATACATTTTCTAAAGTATTTTCCGCTTGTCATCCAGTAAATCTATCTCAAACCTAGATCTTACTGTGTCAAAACCATTTTTATCCTCCTTAAACACATCATTTACCTGGTGATATTGCAACCAATCCATCAGTAACTCTTTTATTTCTTCAAATGTTTTTAATCTTAACTGACTTACTATCTCTATCAGTAAATCTCTATACGTGGCCCACTTTCCTTTCATATTTAACTTCTTTACCACTATTATTTCTATTGGGGAGAGCCACCAAGGGGTTTTACGTTCCAATGTTTTATATCTGTTCCAAAACTGATAAATTTAGTTTCGTGTTATGTGATTCAGGAATCCTTTATGCACTTTTACTTACCATAAAATATACGTGCCATCCATATTGATTATCGTAACCTTCCAAGTCTAATAAATCTGTATTCTCCAACAGATT